GGAAAGCTGGTCTCAACTCTCCATGCTCTAACTCTGGCATGGAAGCTGGCTTAGCTTAGGGGTCTGGGCAGGTCATTCGACTTCTCCGGCCCTCAGTTTCCTGTGACTATGCTAAGGGATTGAATTGGGTGATCACTACAATCCCCTGGTTCTGAAATTCTAATTTCCTAAAGTCTGTTCTGGATTTCTGAGTCTAGGGTTTGGATTGACATACAATAACCTCCAGAAACTCAGCACGACTGGCCCAATGGACACTTGGTAGATAAGACTCTCTGGTAGCAAATTAATTCTGATAAACAGGAAGTACCATGGCAGGTCCCCAAAGCTAACAACTCAAGTGTCTGCTGACTAGACAGGCACGGAGGGTCTGGAGCACACTCCTCGTGGAAAGGAAGAGTTATTCCCCTAACTTCTCTGAGGTTCTAGACATGGCTCTGGGGTAGTTGTAAGATTATGACAACTAATCATTTTCAACTTCTTGGCTTCAGCCCTCACCAGGAAAAGATAAACATTGCCCAGGTAAAAAACTAGATGACAGAAGGCAAAAGTCTGCTTGAACCCCAGTGTAGAAAATTATGAATGGAAATCAGCAGTAAGGGAGAAAATGATCTTTAAAACAAGAAAGGAAGGAAAGAACATGTCTCCTTTTGTTCTTTTTCTGAGCCTAGTGTTCAGGAAATTGGAATCTGTGACAGCATTGTGAAGGCACAGCCATGCTACCCATTGTAAAACTTTGAAAACTTAACTGGAATATTGTGACTTCCAAAATTATCATGACATCTGAATTATTTGGGTTGGAGGCTATATCGTTGCTAAGTTCACTTGGAAAAGATCAGAATTGGCTTCATATGCTACCATGTTCTGAACCCTGGCTACATATTAGAATCATTGGGGAGCTTTAATCAAACACCAACCCATGCTGAAGCCTCACACCAGATCACTTATATCAGAGTCTTTGGGAAGTAAGGCCTAGGCAAACTTGGAACTACAACTATGGCCCAAAGATGTTCACTTCTCAACATCATATATAATTTGGTTAGGCCTCTCTTGTCCAAGCAATCTTACTCATTTACTAAAATCTGGTGCAGGCATTTAAAAAAGATGTTAAAATGCTTAATGAATATCTGTAGCAATGAGTAAAAATGCATATATTATGATTTTAAGTTAAAAATTTAGGATACAAGAACTATTTATTGGATAGAAAAGAAACAAATGACTAGAAAGTTCAGAAAAGAAATAATACTGGAAAGAAAATACACTAAAGCGGTTACATGGTTATACCAGGGTGTTAGATCGTTTTTAAAAAATATGTTTGTATTGACTTTTCCAGAGAGAGGAAGGGAGAGGGAGAAAAAAGAGATAGAAACATTGATGTGATGTGAGAGCAGAACACTGATCAGCTGCCTCTTGCACGCCCCCTACTGGGGACCAAGCCTACAATCCGGGCATGTGCCCTGACTGGGAATCGAACCAGCAACCTCTTGGTTCATGGGTGGAATTTTCCAAGTTTCCTATGATGATCATATATTTCATTTAAATGGGAAAGGAGGCAAAAACCAAGCAAACTACCACCTAAAAAGTGAAGGGGCACATCTCTCAAGAACGTCTGTCTGTTAGAGCTAAGATAAGAGGTTTCTCTAAGGCACTCAGGACAGACAGCTCCACAACCAGCCAAGCCAATTGTACCTTTCTCTTGCTTTGCTCTCCCATTTCACATGGTCTGACACAAGAGCCTGCAGACTAGAGGGAGTTCAGAATGAAAAATTTCCCTAAACCCCTAACAGTGCCAATAAAGAAGGTCACTTACAAACTGGGATCCTGAGTGGGGGTAAAGGGGTACTATCCTACTGTTGAGACCCAGAAGACCTTCAAGAGCAGGGAAATATCTGGGCTGTTCTCCAAGACTCCATTTGTGTCTGGGGGATTGAGGTAAGAAGCAGGTTTTTTGGGTAAAGGACCAGATCTGGTTTCCACTCCCAGTTGCTTTGGTTAAGGTAGACCTGCTCTTATGAACCAAAGATCCACTCTTGCTCTAGCCTTGGAAACAGTGGGAACACAGCATCCTATCCCATTCACTCAAACTATGGATACCCTAGAGAAGCCAGGAACTCCTGAAAGTGGTGCAGCTTCTGCCCACGAGCCCAGAGGAAGCTGAAGGCTGGGTCTATGGGATATCTCTGATTGACCATACTGGCGCCTC